TTGGTGATAAGGCAGATGCGAGGCGAGATAGAGTGCAAGGCACCAGGCATGACTCCTCTTCGTCGAAGGGCATTGGATCGGCTGAGAACGTGGCCCGCCCATGAGTTCCTGCACGTCAAGCGAGACTAAAACCAGAGCGCAGACAGGTTAGCCAACACTGCATTACATCAGCAAGAAAGCACAGCGGTTACCTCGGAAGCCGACCGCGACGACTTGGTTGTCCTCAACCGGCTCCAGGAGCTCCTGCTCCCGAAGGAAGAAGGGTCTATCGCCAGGATGGCCACGACGACTCGATCCCGAACACGCTCGAAGAACTCGGCAGAGGTGCTACAGCTAGATGTGGTTCAACGCATTAGGACGGACCGGGTTCTGCGAGCACAGAACGAGGAGAAGTGGATCGTAGACCTCAAGGCGTACCTGTCAGGCGACTTGGAGGACCTGAATGCTGGCGAAGCGCGAGCTTGCAACAAAATCGCGGGCGATTACGACGTAGACGACGGTGGGCTGCTTCTCTACTGCCCACGCCCACGAAGAGACGACAGTGACCGAGACCGCTTGGCGCAGCTGGTAGTGCCCGAAGACCTGCAACAAGACGTATTGCACCATTATCATACGAGACTGGAAGGAGGACATCAAGGGGTCGGAAGAACGTACCAGCGGGTCCGGGCGCACTTCCACTGGTGCAGTATGTTCAAGAGTGTGCAACGATACGTGGGACAATGCACGGATTGTGAAACTGGGAAATGACGCCCGACTCTAGGCGGAGAGTTGCCAGGCGACATTCAAGCAACGTACCCTTTCCTGTGCATCGCGATGGACCACAGCCCGTCTCTACCAAGGTCGTATAAAGGGAACACCGAACTGCTCATCTCGGTCGATCTATTCACAGGTTACGTGATAGCCAAGGCTAGCGCTTCAAGGACGGCACAGACAGTCCCGGAGAGCTACGAAGAGTGCGTCTTGCGCCGGTTCGGGGCAAGTGAAGCCATCCGGCAACCGGGCTTCATGTCCGACTTTTTCCGTGCCTTCAACCGCATAGTGGGACAGAAGCAGCGCGCCACCATGGCGTACAGTCCACAAGCCAACGGCACGGCCGAACGGATGGTCCAGACTCTGACTAGAGTCTTGAAGATGTATGTCGCAGATATAAATCAGAAGGACTGGGACGAGTACGCGGAACGTCTGACGTTCGCCCTCAACACGGCGTACGACCGTATCAGAGGTGAAACGCCGTTCTATTT